GACTATCGTCAGCGTAACAGTGAAAAAAGATCCCATGCTTTCTGAGGACTGAGCCCAAAGGAAGCAGGTAACGGGAAAAAAGCAGGGGACCTAAAACAGAGCCCTGTGGCTTATTTGTTAAGAAATCAGGTGTCTCTTGTAAAAGAGTCCACGAGGCTCAATGGGATTAACCTGTCTAAATAAGGGTTGAATGAATGAAAAAATCTCAATGTAACTCACTACCTGTACAATAACCTGTGTAGTATATGTTATGTGCATTATATATCATGCGAGTTTGAGCTAATATTACTATCTATGACATTCTTACTTGTACTAATTCATCCTACGTGCATCGTTATATTCTACCATGTAGTTTTCATATTTCTTTTGGACCTTGTAAATATTATACATTTTTTTCCCTTTTTGGTACTTTATTAATTACCTTATACATGCTTTTTTATTTGTTTGTTTGTTTCTTGAGTGAGTCAAATTGGTCTGTCTCATCCTGAACATTTCATTGCATTGTTGACCTTGTGTTAACCTGCATATGACAAATAAACAATATTATATAACACAGATGTATAAGAATCTTCATGATCCTGTTGGTCTTTTTTTCATGGAATTTGCATAAACGGAGTGAAATGATTCAAAATTTTCTCCCGCTTTCTGTCTTTAGGTGAGCATTGAACCTCATAAACAGTCATTTTCACTCTACTTTACATCTTCATAAGTGCAACCCACATGTCTCTAATGAGAACCAGGTAAACAGAAACTCTGAAGATCCTCCAAAGGGAGCAGAAGCAGAATAGTTTGTGCATAACAAAACAACTCTCTGCAGTTTAAACGCTTGAAACTTTGCTCATTATATTTGTGTTGAAAAAGCTCCACAGGCAAGGAGAGGAATATCTTAAACTAACAGAAAAAAAAGTCTAGTTGATTTGTTTCAAAACTCTTAAGGAAATGTTAAGTTTTAACTCCAGTATCCTGGTGCATGCTCAATATTCCAGGTAGAAAAATCTAAAAAAGTTAAGTCAGGTCCTCTGAACGTGTTCAAAAAACAAAAATTCGTAGAAACGTTTCGTCTTTCATCCGAAAGACTTCTTCAATCCTGAGGACCTGATTTAACTTTTATAAATTTTAACTCCAGTAATAATCTGCAGACTAATCCTCCACAGCATGCACCTACACGGCAGCAATGTCATCCAAGCTGCTCCTTATCTGACTTCAGAATAAACTGCTGCATCTGTTGCTGCAGGAATCTGCTTTCCTGTGAATAGAAGGAGAACCTGAATCAAATATATGTCTTTCATATGATAATTAAAAGTCAAAATAATAATAAAAAATGTATTAAGACTTTAACATTGTGTGTGTGTTATATATTTTAATGCATTTCTCCAACAAATAAATGGTTTATAACTATATACATGCCAAAAAATAGATTAGAATAAATTTTTAGTGGTAATTTTTAGATTAGATGTTTGTTTGTTTTTTTCAATCAAATTCTGCAAAAATTATTAACTTATTGGACAATAAATATTCTAAGTGAATACAGACTTTATGTTAGGGAATTTTTGGTCAAAAGTTATGGATGTTTTTATTACTAGGGCTGAGAATCTTAACCTGCCCATGAATCATATGTTTGGGTTAGCAGAGAGAGATGGATGAGAAGTGAGTTGGGTGAGACTACAGCTGCAGCCATGACACTTCCAAGTTCTGTGAACTCGGCTGAACTGATCAGGGTATAAAAGCAATCTGAGAAGGTAGCTCAGGGCAGATTCTCCTGACTGACATTCATGTGTACTTTATGTATATTTATGTAACCTGTACTGAAATTCTGTCCTCATAAGTAAATACAGGTTAAAAATCTTCTCCTGCCATCGAGCATGATTCTTTTTGAGTAAGTAAGATAAAGTGAGAATATTTTTCTCCAACACTTTACCTTTTGTCTTTTTCTTGGCTTTATGTTGATGGTTGATTTCAGCGTACATTGGAGTGAAACCTGAAACAGAAAGCAAAACAAAAGAAAACAAAGATGCCTATGATGAGCAAAATGAATGGAATCAATGTTCCTTCACCCGGATATGGGTCACCGAGGCCCCGCTCTGGAGCCGGGCCTATAGGTGGGGCATGCTGGCGAGCACCTGGTGGCTGGGCTTTTACCCATGGAGCCCGGCTGGGCACAGCCCAAAGAGAAGATGTGGGTCCCCCTTCCCATGGGCACACCACCTGTGGGAGGGGTCAAAGAGGTCGGGTGCAATGTGGGATGGGTGGTGGCCAAGGACGGGGACCTTGGCAGTCTGATCCTCGGCTACAGAATCTGTAGAGCCCCCCCATCTTGGTGCCTGTATATTGGGGTTCACCCTGGTGAACAAAGGGGTAGCCTCCCTCCACTTACATGTGGGGGGATGGGTTCAGACTGTTTTTTGTGCTTATCCACCAAATAGCAGTTCAGATTACCCACGCTGCTTGCCTTTATGATGGCTTGTTTCATGTCTCGAGTACCCGGACTCAAATGCTTTGGGCTGAATGGATCAGATCTTGGGGATTTTACTCATTCATGTTCCATTGGTGTGGCAATGTAATTTGGACATTTCGGAACCGAGTCAACCAACACAGACTCAAGGTAGATGTCATTAAGTTCTGCCTGTCCCCAAAACAACTGTGTGTTTATCGGAATTTGGCTCCCTTGGCTGGCCTTGAAGGCCATTTTATCTGAATTCACCTGGATAAAATGTGATCTGACGCTCACCAGTCGCCGGGGAAAACGTGCTGGGCGGCTGGTAAAAGCTTAAAGCACTGCGCGCTGCATCTTCCTCTCTAGCTGGTGGTCATGGTTTCCATCACCAGCTTCCCGCATGCCCGGACCAGGTAAACAATGGGAGTTGTCGGCCGATGCACCGCACGGGCGGACCCGGAGGGGCCGTTATTGAAAACCTGCGGCCACTGGTGCGCGCTCCCTCCACCGCTGCTGGGTCCACTTTGGACAGTATCCAGATGTGTTTGGTCAACGCAAGATCTGTTACCAACAAAACTTTTATTCTCAGGAACTACTTTCAAGAGCACAATTTGGACTTTCTCTGCGTCACAGAGACTTGGATGTCTGCGGGTGAGTCCAGCGCCTTGACGGAATTATTGCCACCGAACTGTCTGTATTTTAATGCACTCCGGCCATCAGGCCGGCGCGGTGGTGGATCATTAACAATATTCAAATCAACTCTTGACTGTAAACAACTGCCCATCCCAGTTTCCCATGCCAGCTTTGAGCTGAGCGTCTTTGAACTCGGCCACTCGCCTTCGACTTTATGCGCACTTGTCTACCGCCCACCTCGATCTAAGGATTTCATAAATGAATTTTCTGATTTCTTGGCTGAAATCACACCAAAATATGATCATGTTTTCATTATTGGGGACTTTAATTTGCACGTGTGCTGTCAGGAGAAGCCCTTGGTTAAGGACTTTTTAGATTTATTGGACTCATTTAATCTAACTCAGCATGTAAATGGTCCCACCCAAGAGCGTGGACATACACTGGACCTTGTTTTAACACGTGATGTGACTGTTAGTAATCTTGAAATTGGTGATAAAGTTTTTTTAAGACCACATGCCAGTCCGGTTTGAGTTCACCCTCCCCCATCTAACTCCTAAGCCGTGCGTTCCTGCATGTAGTAGCCGGACCATTAACCGCTTCACAGCCACACATTTCACAGATGTTTATAACTCTGAAATGATAATTCAGCCCCCGGTGTTTCTCACCACCACTGAGGAGCTTACATCCCAGTTCAATTCTGTTTGCTTAAAGACTCTGGATCATGTCGTGCCTGTTAAAACTAAAAAATCAAAACTGAGAGCAGAACCTTGGCTGAGTGACGTCACCAAGGCCGTTAGGCAGCAGTGCAGGAGGGCGGAGCGCAAATGGAGGAAAGACAGGCTGCAGGCCTCTTTTCAAATACTTAAAGAGAGTTGGCGCCATTATCAGAAAGCAGTAAAAGCTGCTAAATCCAAATACTTTTCT